CTTTGCAAAATGCAATCCATCCTCCTCTCCTTCCCTGCCTATCTTCCCTGAAAAGCCTGTATCTATCCATTGCAGCACTCCAGTCATGAAAGCTACATCTCTGCAATACCAGTGAGGCCATGCCTCTGCAACTGTGCCCAAACTTCTAACTCCTCCTGTTTGTTTCCCATGCCGTACGCATTTGTGTTCAAGAACTTAAGAGGGGCTCCCAGTTGTGCTGCTTTCACAAGTATACTATGAAAGTCTTCCGCATCCTGTTGCTCTCCAGATGCTTCCCATCTCTTCCTCATGCCTTCACTTCTCTTCACAGTACGACAACCCTTCCCCGATATATTGAGTTTAAAGTCCTCCTCACACACAGTTGTCAAAGATTCTCTTGCCCCACAGCAGACAATCCTGTCCCTGTCCAGCAGTCCTTGTCCCTAAAAGAGGGTCCCAAGATCACAGAAGCCATAGAAGCCCTGCCAGCAAAACCAGCCATGCAACCAGGTATTGACTTGCTGGATGCATCCACTCCTGCTTCGGCCTTTTCCCCTCACTAGGATTGACCTGAACACCACCTGGGTCCACACATCCTTTATCTTTGTTCCCAAAGATTTGTGGTTACTCTTGATATGCCAAGGTGCTTGCACGGATGAGCCGCGAGGGGTAACAGAGGACTGGACAAGCCTCAGCAGTCTCTCCACATGTCCCGAGACATCAAGTCAGGTTAACAGATCGGTGCCTCTGTCCCCCGTGGAGGACAGTCTCTGGTAACTTTAACCCTCCTTTTCCTCTTTGTGTGAGCTGGCTCTGATACCTCCACTGAGAGGCAGTCATCTTTCTCACTTGTTCCCAGGGCACTGTACATATTCTGCAATTGCAGAACCACAGGTGGAAAAAGGAGCTTTTGTTGCGTTGCCAGATGTGATAAACTTCCACTCCACCCCATCTTGGGAGCTTCCATCCAACAATTCTTTGGAAATCTCCAATTGGCCTCTGTGCTGAAACGAACCAAAACTGACCCAAAGAGTCAACCAGAGGCATCAAGATATCTACTCCCACCTACGCATGGCTGTAACTTGGTTGGGTAGTAGTATATTGACAAGGCAACGCAAGGAATACTCCTCCCCGCCCCCCCGCCAGATGCAATGCTAGTTTAATGGGTAAGCAAAATAACTCTACAAAGTAAAGTCCTTTGATTTAGCCACTACTGAAGGAGTCGCTATTTTTTCTAAATTTCAGTGGAAGGACAGTAGCTCAAAAAAGGCCTTAAGCAAACCTCTTCAGGAACAGAACTTATCTCCGCAATTAAATCCATTAGGGCCACCTGACAAGCCTTCTTTCTTAACAGCTGAGGGTGGGGGTTGAGTCCCGGGTGACCAGCTTCTAATTCTAGGGAAGGACACAATCCAACTATTCCTCTGTTGGAGCAGAGACCACAAACATTTAGGCATATTTACTTAGCCTTTCTACAGCAAGACAAAGAACATGATGCATTCCTACCACCACTGTGCAAGACTGTAGCCTTGTTCTCTCCAGAATTTTCCT